TTGGCACTCAAAAAATTAAATAGTAATGTTGCTATAGTTAAAGACATGATTGTAAGAATAAAATATTTTATGAAAAGAGCACGTATGCAGAAACATGAGATGGATCATCACCACAGGACCAATGTGACCTCTGACCCACATCTGTTTTACCCAGAACAGAAAGAAACGTGAAATTAATTTATCTGCAGATATTAGAAAAATGACTATTTATTTATTCAGAAGGTTAAACTATGGTCTGGAGACAGAGACATGGACAAAAAGACAGGAAACAGAACTGGAAGTGTCAGAAATGAAGATGTTGAGGTTCTCCTTAGGAGAGACAAGGATGGAGAAGATCAGGAATGAGATCATCAGATGTACAGCACAGGTTGAACACCTGGGAGATAAAGTTAGAGAGGACACACTGAGATGGTTTGGACATGTCCAGAGGAGGGACAGTGGTTTGGACATGTCCAGAGGAGGGACAGTGGTTTGGACATGTCCAGAGGAGGGACAGTGGTTTGGACATGTCCAGAGGAGGGACAGTGGGTATATTGGTAGAAGGATGTTAGAAATGCAGCTGCAGGAAAAAGACAAAGAGGAGACATATGGAGTTAGAGAGGACATGGAGGTGGTTGGACAGAGGACATGGAGGTAGTTGGACAGAGGACACGGATGGAAGAGGGTGACTCACTGTGGAGGGAACTGCTGAAAGAAGAAGGTGCTATAAACCAGATGTTTTTGGAGCTAGCTTCTACATTTATGGAAACATGGTAGTGAAGGGCGGCTGTGGCCGAGTGGTTAGAGCAGTCGTCCTCCAATGAGAGAGTTGGGGGTTTGATTCCACCAGTAGTCGGTCACATGTTGAAGTGTCCCTGGGCAAGACACTGAACCCCTCATTGTCTCTGATGTGTGTCCCATCAGTGTCTGAATGTGATTGGTCTTTGTAGAGATGTAGTTGTGAAGATCACAGGTTGTTGTCAAGATCTTTGTGTCTCGAGTAGAAAGGAGCTGAAGTCCAGTCCATAACAAAACAGATGTAGTTTGTCATTTTAGCCACTAGTTGGAGCTAAAAACGCATCTTGTTCGTCGTGGCCTCTTCAGAGCCTGTCCCTACAGCTGTTGTTGCGTTCAGGGTCTCGCTCTGCCACGTCTTCCGTTTGAGTTGTGGCACGACACCGGTTCATCTCAGCAGAAGCTGAATCATCAACAATTACTGACGGAAGCTCTGACATGAACTGCTGGAGCAATTAAATGTCTCGTAAACCACTGGACAGATGTTAGTGGAGCTTCATATGAATGTGGGTTAGTTTCTAGAGACGACTTGAGGTGGCCGCCGCAGCTAATCCACGTTAGCGGAAACCACGACTCGTTTTCACGGAGCTGAAACTGACGGAGCTCAGATTTGATCTAAAGTTCGTTTTCTGGACGTGTCGTTGTTTTTCATCAACACATTTTTTTCTTTGTCCATCAGAAAAAAGTGCTGACATTTTTCAACTAAATGAAATGGTATGCCAACGCCTCATGGTCACCATGGTAACCACACACCTGTCTGTCATTCCGTTACTGCCACGTTAATGAGGGGCAGAAAGACGGACTGAAATGTAAGTCTCAGAGTTGCTGTGCGACAACGGCCTCTGGTCCAGTTTCTAGGACCAAGCTACAAATGACTGATGGTCGCACATTAAGAGTCCTTCCTCTTCCTGTTAAGAAAATATTGGTCTCTTCAGGTACCGGTCCATCTAGTTCTGCAGCAGTTCCAGCATCAGGTCTATTCAGGTCCATGTAATCTGGAGACCGTTCATGTTTCCTGTCAGAAGATGAGCTGCAGCAACGCAGAGTCACAGAAATCCGAGCTGGGTGTTCTGAACCATCATCCTAAACCGACAAAAGGTTTAGCTGGAAAATGATCAAACTCGTCCCAATAAATGAACTGGTCCGTCTCAGATTTATGGTCTGAAGTCACACCAAGTTTCCTGGCAGTTGGGTGGCAAGAAGACTCCAGTTGGACAACAATGTCCAAAAACTTCAGATGTGCTGCAGAAGACAAGATGGCGGACTTCAGGACCAAGGTAGAGTTGCATTCGGGCCCAAAAAGACCCGACCCAGCCCGTAGCCATCATTTCCAAACCTGAGCTGACGAATTAGCAGCAACTACAGGTCCAATCCCCAAAAATTAAGAAATCTTTAAGCTTTGACTGTTGTATAGTTAGCAGGTCCTTGGTTCAAACCCCGGTCCAGGGGCCTTTCTGGGTGGAGTTTGCATGTTCTCTCCGTGCATGCGTGGGTTTTCTCCGGGTACTCCAGTTTCCTCCCACAGACCAAAAACATGCATGTTAGACTGATTGGTGACTCTAAATTGTCCCGAGGTGAGAGTGAGAGAGTGAATGGTTGTTTGTCTTGTTTGTCTCTGTGTCCCTGTGATGGACTGGAGACCCGTCCAGGGTGTCCCCCGCCCCTCGCACAGTGATTGCTGGACAAGGGCACCAGCGACCCCTGTGACCCAAAATGGAATAAGCGGGTAAAGAAAATGGATGGATGGATGTTGTATAGTTCTTAACGGGGGGCATACTCGTGGCTGAGGGGGTGTTTGTCCTTTCATGGCCGTCAGCGCATTACATCCCTGCTTCTGCTGCATTCTGCATTATTCAGACACGGACCCTGCTCTGACATGTCTGCAAGGACTTTTTGGGATCTCACCTGTTCGGTTTGTCGGCCACGTGCGTCCGCTGAGTGCAGCGGCTGAATGAACGTCCATTTGGGTTTTGATGGATCGCTGCCTGGCAGTCGTCCATCTGAAGTTTAACTGAACGTGTTTTTTTTATTTTATTTATTTTTTTTGTTAATCTCTTTCAAGGCTGGTCAGCACGCGGTCAAATGGCCGTGTGCAGTTGGTGATGATTATATGGCAAGACATGCTGCCATATAATTGGATTGTCAGCCGTGTGCATCTGCTGATGCAATCAAAAGCCTGAGACCGACCCGGCCTGCTCATCCAGCACATTATTATGGCCCGACTTGGCCCAAATTCAGGCCAGGCTTAGAAAAGACAGCTCTAACCCAAGGGCCTTTATCAATACTTCAGGACCTGGGAATTTACACAATAAGGATTTTAAGCTCTTGACTACACAATCAGGACCTGGGTGTGGACCTTTACAATCAGTTCTTCAAGACCTGGGGGTACACAATCAGGAAGTCAGAACCTGGGACCTTCACACTAGATTGCAGCCGATATATCGGTAGGGCTGCGTTTGGGTAAATATTGCATCAGAGATAAATCTGTCCCATTATACGGTGATATTTAGGAACAATCCTTGTCCTTACTTGCAAAAAGCGTAATTGTACAATGTATCCAGCAGAGGGCGCATGCAGACTGTTTTCAAGCCATTTCATTCATTCAACCTTTATTTAGACAGGTTAATCCCGTTGAGCCATGAGGGACTCATTTACAAGAGAGACCTGATTTAACAAAGAAAGATGGACAAACGGTGGACAATCTTAAAAGAGTCATACCATTTTTTTTTTTACAAAACAAAACAAAATGGCAACCAAAAGGAATAGCGAAAAGGAAAACAGATTATAAGGTGATGTAGAAAACTAAAAACAGGAACATGTCTGCGGTGGTTCTTCCAGGAACTTAACAAATGTCTGTCCGAAGCCACTTAGAGAGGTCAAAGGTCGAGAGCTTCAGATCTTTTTACAAGATGTTCCAAGAAACGGGAGCGGAGTAGGAGAAGGTCCTTTTGTCTAGTTCAGTCCTCACTGAGGGAACACTGCAGGTAATGATGTCCTGAGAGCGCACGCTGTAGCTGCACTCACACAGAGACATGTAGGAGGAGATGTATGAAGGCAGCAATACTACGAGGTAAAATATACGAGTGGGAAAACTGCCAGTAAGTGGCAGGATGAGGTCACATCATTCACTGCAGAAAATGTTAAGTTGATTGATTTATGTAAATAATTAAAACGTGAACCTGGAACCTAATCTATCAGAAGTTTTAATAATTTGTTTTAAAATTAAACTAGTGTTGTTTTTTTATTATTTGGACTTGAGCACAAATCTTGTTAAAGTGTAAGCCAAGTTCAAAAGGTCCTACTCCGCTCCTGTTTCCTGGAATATCTTGTAGAAAGATCTGAAGCTCTCGACCTTTGACCTCTCGATAAGTGGCTTCAAACATCTGTTGAGTTCCTGGAAAAACAACAAAGTCCATGCTCAATAATCCAGGTATACATTCCAACATTTTTCAGTCAGGTCATCTGTTCAGTTTCTGTTTTTTTTTTGTGCTGAAGCAGAACTGGTTTGTTCCACTTTGGGTAAGCTGTTGGGGGAAGAATCAGTTTTGTTGTGTTTCCTTGACTGATGAAGCCTTCTGGATCAAAGGCGAAACGTTTCAGCACAAAAAAAGAGAAACTGTCCAGATGACCTGACTGATTCAAGGAAAAACCAATGCAGACATGTTCCTGTTTTTAGTTTTCTACACCGCCTTATAATCTAACTGCTTTTTTGCTACTTTTCTTTTCAATTATCCTTTTATTTACCATTTTAGTTACGCTTGTTAAAAATATAAAAATAATTGCACGCATCCTTTATGATCGTCTGTTGTTGTCATCACTGGGGCGGCTGTGGCTGAGTGGTTAAAGCAGTCGTCCTCCAATGTGAGAGACGGGGGTTCGATTCCACCAGCAATCACATGCCGAAGTGTCCCTGTGCAAGACCCTGAACCCCCAAATGCCTCCGATGTGTGTCCCATCGGTGTTTGAATGTGATAAAGCTCTGATTAGTCTTTGCACAGAAATAGTAGAGTGCTGTATAAATGAGGCACAGAAAAGCTCTACAGTCCATTTACAATTTACATCACTCTGTTGAAATCAGGGTTCTCTTGTAAATGAGTCCTCGAGGCTCAGTGGGATCAACATGTATAAATAAAGGTTGAAATGATTGAAACAGCATTCAGTGAGTTTAACCATAGATATAAACACTCATTAGATGATATCTATGACGTCATGAACCGGAAGAAGAATGTGTGAGGGGGCGGGGCTAAAAGCGAACCTAAACAAAGTCGTCCTCTTGCCTCCAGACGTTGAGCGCGTCCCGTCCCCCACATGCACGGTGTAATATCGGAGCGAGAGATGCAGGATAACGAGGCGAGCTTCATCCATCAGATCCTCAGCCTGAATCTAGTTCCGAGGAGCAACGGGACACTGCGGGGCAACAGCACGTCTCTCAGCGACTTTTCAGGTGCGCTAACGCTAGCTGGCTAACAACAAGCGGCTGTCATGTTTCATGTTTCATGTTCGCTGTCCAGGTCAGAGTGTAAAACTTTTATCAGCCTTCAAGATGCTTGGAACGACACACGGTTTAAAGCTGCTGTGGGAGATTATAATCTGGGCCTTCTGTGAGCAGCGCTCGGGACTTCGTGAAGCTAGCTAGCTAACTTCCGGATACCTCGGTGGTAATCACCTTCTTCAGCAGGTGTTCAAGTTTTTAATAAACTGAAATAAAAGTGTCTGAACAAGATGTGGCGATTTGGAAGGCTCATTTTGCGTCACCCTAAAAACTACAATTTTGTAGTACACTTGTTTCATTTAATTAGGAAGTCTGAGCTCTACATAACATATGACTAATTTACTGCCAAAAGCTTATTTTTATTAATATTATTAATTAACGAGTTAAGTTATTAGAGTCATGTTTGGTTTCCAACATATACGAACATATATCGATTACATTCGAGTTCACTTCGGACAGTTCCGATCGATATCGAGTGGGTAAAATAGTACCCGGATGTAAAACTAAAAATTAAAATCAAAAAACGTTTAATACAACAAAAGAAAAAAATAAAGTGTTTCACTTCACGAAGAGATTAAAAGCTTCAAGGATGAGAGTCGTTGGGAGCATTAACGCAGACGCCTCGCGCTGAATCGTACGTCGATGTCGCCGCCATATTGGATGGGGCAGAAGTGGAGACGTCTCAGTTGTCGCTCAGTTCAAGGTGTTTGTCATATGCAGGTTAGCACGTGGTTAGCACGTGGTTAGCACGTGGTTAACAGTACAATGAAATACTCAGGATGACGAAAACCGATTTGACTCGCTAAAAACAGTTTTAACTGAATTTTTACTGTTATTGTTTATTGTTGTCTGAACTTGATAAAGCTGTGATTAGTCTCTGTACAGATCCAGTAGAGTTCTGTATGAATGGGTGAATTAGATTGTTGTAAAAAACTTTGAGTATCTAATAAGATGGAAAGGAGCTGTACAAGTACAGTCCATTTACCGTTGCAGTTACCGTTCCAAATTGTAGTAAATGAATATATTTCCTTAAAATTTTACACGCAGTGTGCAGAAAGATTATTTTGTTAGCTGTGTAGCTAACAGGCCAACATACTTTGAAGACCTCTGAGCTTGTGATGGCAGTAATAAAGTGTTCGTAGGCGTTAACAACCCAACATTACAGTTGTTACGTGTTGTCTGCTCGGAGGAGGGAAACCGGACAGGCCAGAGCCACGTTAGTGATGTAGTGGCGTGTTGTGGAGCAGATGACGTGCACCTGAGCGGCTCTTTACCTGCGGTACGAGGTGTTTGACTGCAGCTTGTTTTTGTCCAGGTATGTGGTGTGGCGTGTTCCTGTGGACCGCCGTTTCCTCGCTCATCTTCCACCTGCCTGCAGCTCTGCTCTCCCTCGCTGCTCTGCGCCAACACAAGTACGCTCGCTTCATGCCCATCACCATCCTGCTCATGGGCGTCCTCGGACCGCTCTGTGGGGGGGCCCTCACCAGTAAGTCTTCTGTGGGTGTGAGTTTGGACCAGTAAGTCTTCTGTGGGTGTGAGCTTGGACCAGTAATGCCCCTTTTCCACTGTCACGGCGCGGGTCGGATATTTCCGGGTTGAAGCGCGTTGGAGGTATTTCCACTGTTCCAGAAACCGGCTCGTCTCGCTAAATTCTGGCCCGGCTTCTCAAGGGTTCCGAGCGAGCCGCGCCGTGACGTCAGAAACACTGTCGGTCACTGATTGGTCGGGGGGAGGAGTCTGTGGAGTCTTTCCAAACAACCCGATCCACCATTTTTTTCTCTACCGCTTGCCATGAGCGATAACTCGAGGAGCGTATCTTTTAGTATTTTGAAGCTATACAACAACAATAATATCAAAGCCGTGGTCAAATGCAGAAGTGCAGGTGTTGTTGTGCTTGGTGGCCGACGAAAAAAGTCAAAGCGAGCTAGATGGAGGATTGGAGGGTGGTTTGGACACGACTACTGCTCTACTTGAACCATTTATAGAAGATGGTGAGTGTTTTCTAACTTTAAACATATTTTAAATTACTCATCCCATCGGTTCTGAACATATTTTTAACTAACAAAAGAGGCTGATGCCATAATAGTACAACGTCGGTGCTACGATGCTAAGCTAATTTGCATAAATGCTAACTGTCCTCCGGTCCCGTTTCTCACTGTATTTTATCCAGAACGTCTTTCAGCGCGTGATGGTTCATCTCTAAACTCCACATTAAACCCTCCAAGCCTCCTGGCTCCTGCTCCATCAGAGGAGTCTACACCTGACAGAGCTCCATCAGAGGAGTCTGCACCTGACAGCGCTCCATCAGAGGAGTCTACACCTGACAGAGCTCCATCAGAGGAGTCTACACCTGACAGAGCTCCATCACAGCCCACCTGCACCTCACAGAGCAGCACAACGCTGCAGCTTCTGTGCTCGGTAAGATGCAACATGTTCCACATCACTTTATTTGTGCCGATAAGGACTTGATTTATTTTATTTTTAAAGTAAAAAACTAAAATGTTGAATAAATACTGAATTGGGATGAAATTGTGTACACAGGGTCCCAGTTACAGACAACAAAACGTAAAATAAAAACAGTAATAAGATCTAAGATATGAATTAAGAAAAATATCAACTAAAAAACATCTACTAATAAAACACTAAGCACTAATAGCAGTAAACAATCAAAACAATACGTCAAACAGCAACATGAACTTGAGTTTGTGCAGCCTCATGAATATATAACACTGTGAAGAATCACATCATGTAGCTGCTGATCAGTTTCATGTTGCTGCTGATCAGTTTCATGTTGCTGCTGATCTGTTTCATGTTGCTGCTGATCTGTTTCATGTTGCTGTGTGCATTCGTGCTCATCTGTTCACACAGACTCATGTCCGTGCTGCTGTTCTGCGTATTGTGTTTAATGTTTTTATGCTATTAGAGCTTATCATATTTTTAGTTGATGTTTTTATTAGTTCATATCTTAGATCTTATTACTGTTTTTCTTTTATATTTTATTGTTGGATGTAACTGGGACCCTGTGAACATAATTTTGATCCACCACATGGACCACATGTGGTGCGAATGACAAAGAATATCTGCATCTGTATAATACTTTCTGATTCATATATCCATTATTATCATTTTCATTATTTTTAAATCAATTTATTTTTCATTTTCTTATTTGATCAGTTTATAATTATTAATATATCTATTATAGCTGTTAGCAGCACCTTTCTTTGTTTCATGCATTTATTCAAAAACAGTATGTAGCTTGAATTAACCACCTGTTTCTTCTTTCTAGTGAAGAGAAAGAGAAAAGAGTCCAGTAAAGAAAAGTCTTATTCCATCACTGAATGAACATGAAGAACTGAAGCGGACACAGCAGGAACAACACTTGTGTCTTCTTCTGGATGAAGCCCGTGAGACGAGGGACAGACACAATCATTAGTTGGACGCAGTAGTTTTTATTTTTGTACATTTTTCACTTCTTACTTTTCCTATTAAAAATTTTTTTTCTTAAGTGGTGTCCTTGAACATTAAATTTCCTAAACAAATTTTACAATGTTAAGTTCATATAGTGTTTGTTTAAATTCATACTGGAATTGAGAAGAATTTCCAATTGCATTTGATCTTTAATGGATCCTAAGAAAAGATTACTAGTATCTGCTCAACTGTTATTATGTTATAATTTTTTGGTTCTAGGATGAAGTGACACAAAAACAGTCAAAAATTCAGAAAGGACAGTTATCAGTTATTGGCCATACAACTGTGGCCTGAGAGATTCAGCTGAAAGTCCTGGTGCACCTTTTATTTGAACCTGCAGAGATTTGAACAGCTGATCTGAAGCAAACAGGCAGGAGTTCACCTGAACTGACCACTCCTGCTGTTTGATGGTCTCCTCCTTCGCCACCCGTCCATCCATCCATCCATCCATCCTCTTCTGCTTCAGGGTTGTGGGAGCAGCATCTTCACCAGGGAGGCACAGACATGAACAGCCTCCTCTTCAACTCTTCTAGGACCCCATGGTGTTCACAGACCAACTGACTATTTATTAATTAATATCCTGATGCTGCTCAATAATCCAGGTAGAAAAATCTAAAAAGTTAAGTCTAAAAAGTTAAGTCTGGTCCTCTGGACATTCACAAAACAAACAATACAGTTTATAATAAATAAACTAAAGGTTTTTTGTTTGTTTTGTTTTTTGAATGTCCAGAGGACCAGACTTAACTTTTTTAGATTAATAAGTAATAAATTTATGTTTTAATTTAATGAAAGACAAATCTTTAAAATTCAAGGACAAAATTTAATCTAATTGTTTTCAAGTCTGTATCTTATTGTAAAAGCAGTTTCAAAGATTACAGCACAGTGTGATGTTTTGCAATTTTAACATGAACCTTGTGCATATCTGCAAATAATAAAAGTGAAGATATTTTAAATACATCTTTATTGTAAAAATCTAAACTAAAATGAAAAACACATGGATTTAAAGCAGCAGGAAGGCAGTAAGGTAGGATTATGAATCAGGTCTAAAGTTACAGCTCATGAGGTACTCCATTAGAGCAAGACATCTTTTCCACAACATCGTGTGACAAAACCTTCAGGGTGTTCTTCTTCTAATACGTTTAGTGGTGGCTAGTAAGTAGCTTAAGGGAGCACTACCGCCACCAGGTGGTAAGACGAGTTGGATTCTAGTCCCCGCCTACAGAGCTGGTCCAGAAATGTACATGGAAACACAACAGACCCGAACCGATCTGAACCAACCCGAACTGATCTGATACGCTCTGTGACAGTGGAAAAGGGGCATTTGTCTTCTGTGGGTGTGAGTATGGACCAGTAAGTCTTCTGTGGGTGTGAGCTTGGACCAGTAAGTCTTCTGTGGGTGTGAGTATGGACCAGAAGGAAAGGTCACCCCGAGTTATAAACCGGGTCTTAGGAACCTTTAGGAGGTTCAGCGCTGAAGACCGAAGGGTGCGGGCTGAACAATAAGGGGTCAACATTTCAGTGATGTACTGGGGGGCCTGTCCATTTAAAGATCTAAAAGTAAAGACGGGGCGCTTAGAGCAGTCGTCCTCCATGCGAGACCTTCTATTAGTTCCTGTTAAACCGATGTGATGCGAGAC